TCTTTCTTTCTTTCTTTCTTTCTTTCTTTCTTTCTTTCTTTCTTTCTCACAGCAAGGAAATGACATGCAAAAAACTCAAAGTTACACTATAGCTAAAATGTTACATGCATTCAAGTCAGGAAAGATGAAGTTGTGAGGCCAGATTGTGCTGCCATTTAGGCCAGGGTAAAGCTGACTGCAATTTACACTGCAGTATTTGGCTGTGGTTCCCACCTCAGCCATAACCCAGACATGTTTGTTTCTACATTAGTAAGTTCCATGGTCCTGTTCACATTACCTGAGTAGGCGCTATCATTTAAGGCAGGGTATTCATATTTATTTTGATAAGGTAATGGTGGTTGCCCCTTGCACAAAAGGCAAGGATACAGTTGCCCAAATCTTCCAGGACCTCTGCAACTTTTGGGGGCCTTCAGTGCAGCCCTGAACTGTCCGGGTAGAGGTCCTATGCATTTGCAGTGGCTCTAGGGCCCTCAATCTCCCCTGTACAGCAGCTCCAATGGAGCTATGCTGCTAGGGTTGTACCCTTCCACCTGGGCAGTGACTCAACATGGAGAGTCTCTGCTTCAAAGTTAAAGCAGCCTCAGATTCCATGCTACATTCTTTTCAATGGAAGTTGCCCATGGATTCCTTTTTATACTCACTTAACTGGGTTGCCACAATCGAGCCTCATGGCACTAAGAGAGCAGTTACAAGACCTCAGATTTAGGTTGATAAAGTAACGATGGGGGCCCACGTCCTCAGCCGTGACAACTTGACGTGGCTCCGCTGAAGTCAACAAGCTTCACCACTTCATGGTTTGTAGCTGTGTCATGCACACTGTCTGTCTGCCCCGAAATCAACAGTGTGACAACAGCATACAGTGCAGACATACCCGCACCAGCTTTTATCTAGCTACCTCAAAGAACAGTCACTGGGAAAGCGCACAGGCTAGTCACGCGAGTCCATGCGCAGGGTCCTGGGAGGGTTTGTACAGCCTATGTTGCCGCTGCGACTTCACTGCTTGGGAGACTGGGTTTGTGTGTGTGGCAATCAGCTGGCTGCAGTTCAATTCCACACCCTCAGCCCATGATTGTGATGTGTTCTTATTTCTTAATACGGACATAACCTGCCAAAAGGATACTCAGCAAATGATAACACAGGTGTTGGATTTGGTCCTCATCTGGTGTAAATCAGTATAGTCACACTGAAGTTAATGAAGCTATGTTGATTTACCCCCAGCTGAAGATCTGGTCCGTTAAATTCAGGTCCGTTTCAGTATGATTTTCACTAACCACTCACCTGTCTGACTAATGTTTCTCCAGGGAATTTCGAGAGTTTGCGAACGGTTCTGTGTGTGTGGAGTGTGATCCCCAGTGTGAGAAGATGGAAGATAACATGATCACATGCTATGGGCCGGTAAGCACAACATAAATACTTTGTAGCTGTAACCTGCTTAGTAAGTCTGCGCTAGCATTGGCATTTTTATAAACATCTGTTATTGTCCAATGGGACTTTCGCCATCATCGCTCACGACCATTTCAAATACATCAGCAGTAAATCGCGACAAGCAAAAGAAATTTCACACACCCACAGAACCTTCTTTTATCACTGTTGAGGGTTTTTTCCCCCCTCCTATGTTGAGGTCGATCCTGTTCCCCTCCATGCCTTCAGTCTCCTAGAAAAATTCTGTCTTAAGCAATTGCATTCTGCCAACCCAGATTATCCGACTGGACAAGGAATTCCTCATGGCCATCCTTATAGCAGAATGAAATGTTGTTTGCACCACTTTAATGGTTGATGAGCCCCACCGAAAAGGCTTTTTGGTGGTGGGGAAAGTGAAGTGATCCTTATATTTTTGTTCTTTGTGCATAGCCCGAATAAAAGGCAGGAACCATATGGACACTTGAATACATACAGTCCCTCCCCCAGTATATGGAAAGAGCTTATATTTTGGGCTTTCTGTGGTTACAGATTGGCTGAAAGAACTTGGCTCATTATTTATTTTTGTGACTCACTGATTACAGAGTGTGCTATATAGGTGATCACTATCTGTTTTATTATAATCTCTGCAGTTCACCCATTTGGAAAATTAATGACCTAAGTTTTCTACCAGTGTAGGAAATTTGGATTTGTAGCAGGCCACTGACAAGGCACTTGGTTTCTGCGTCTTCAGAATTGCTTTGGTGAGAGAGGGTAGCACTGTGCATCATTTTGCCTAACTCACTGTAGACCCAACTCCATTGGTTTTGGATGAGGCTTGTCATCAAGATCAGTGAACTGTAGACCCAACTCCATTGGTTTTGGATGAGGCTTGTCATCAAGATCAGTGAACTTTATTTCTTTATACTTCAGGAGACTTGATTTACAGTTTCTAACCTTAGGTCTCCATGTGTAATAATGAAAATGAAATCCTCATCTCCTGGAGGGAGACGCGACAGAGGGGTATTGCTGGGACCAGAAATCACAGGCAAAATACGGTGTGGAGATAAGCCTGTGACACAAATGATCCCATCAAGGACCACTTTGTAGCTTCATTTAATATTGAGCAGCGGTATAGGAAAATTCCAGGACAAAAGGAAGTGGACATGGGGCACATTGAGGTGCTTCCATCAAAAGCAACGAAACCAAACACTCCAGAAGCAGCGCTCTGCTAGTACTCTCTATGTAGTGCATTTCCAGCATAGTGCCCCAGGATTTAGCTGTGTGATTCTCATTAACGTTCCTTGGAGTCACACGGCTAAATCCCCGTTCGTTACGAGGGAAATGTACCCCTCTTTCTTTGAGCGTACAGCACCCAGCATGTTGTCAGCAGCTCTTGCGCGGTAACAAACGGTAGAGTAAATCTAATCCGCTGCATTTCTCTCCTGCTCCCCAGGGACCAGACCACTGCACCAAGTGTTTCCATTTTAAGGATGGCCCCAACTGTGTGGAAAAGTGCCCCGATGGCTTGCAGGGGGCAAACAGCTTCATTTTCAAATACGCCGATGAGGACCGTGAGTGTCACCCTTGTCATCCAAACTGCACTCAAGGGTAAGCTGGAGTTCTGCAAGTAGCAAGCTTTGCTATTTAGCGTTTATGTTAGGTAGTGATTTTGTTTGGTTACTGCTTGGCCAGGAAAAGTGTCCATCGTTCCTGGAAGTCTGTGCATACACAACTAGGACATCACCTTTGGTTTTAGGATCCAGAATCCAGTCATTAAGGGTTTGCATCTAATTAGTAGACTAATTAGCACCACACTTTCAAACTTACCAGAATGGGTTCTTACAGCAGCGCTCTTGGCCCTCCCGATAACCAGCACTGGTATGGAAAGCGTTTCTAATATGCGCCCATGAAAGCTGGCATGTACACAGACACCATATTGAATATTTATTTGTGCAGAGGCTTTTCTCCATCACCACATCTCAGCATCAATGGATTCGTGCCGGTGAGTCAAGGGCGCATTACTAATTCACAGATGGGAACTGAGGCAAAGGAAGATTAAGTGACTTGTCTAGGCCCACACAGCAAGTTTGCACCAGAGTTGGGAACTGAACTTAGATCTCCCGAGTCCCCACATCAACCACAAGACCATCCTTCCTGCCGAGACCCAAAAGCAGTGGAGAGGGGAGGCAGCTGTGGCTTCCGCTTTCATCTTATAGAAAGTTGTTGCTAGAGGGCATTTGCCTTACCTGTGCCATAGTCTGGCCCGATTCAAGAGCAAGTGCTGAGCTGGCCTTTTCACCAACACACCCTCTTGTGAGCTGAGCCAAGAGACCAGCAGTTGGAAGTGGCAGAGGCAAAATGGGGACAGTTCAGAGTATCTATTATTAAAAACACTAGTAGGTAATTGAACATATTATAGTCCCCATGTCATTCCTGTGATCAGCAACACTTCTCCCACCTTCTCCTCACCCGAGATGGGCCCCGGGAGAGAAGAGTGGGAAGAATTTTCCTAATGGCAGCGGCTATCGGTTATAATGAATCGGTTTAAAAAAGTTCTCACGTTCAGAAGAGAGGCAGTGTCCAAAACTATCCATAGGATTCATCTACAGGAGCCAGCAGTTCTGTTGATTTCACAAACTGGATTACAGTCCTTTTAAATACATTCTTTCCCCCGCTCTGTTGTCACCTTTGAGACCATCCCTTTCCATTGTCATTTGGCTGAATTACTTGTTTCTCCCTCATGTTTCTTCTGTCCCCATCAATTGCCCTATCTGCTGATGGCACCTGTTACCTGGTGGCGTGCTCTAAATTTTCAAAAGCAACTGAAGTGAAAAAACAGATTGACAGAGCCAGACGAGTACCCAGAAGTCACCTCCTACAAGACAGGCCCAACAAAGAAAACAACAGAACCCCACTAGCTGTCACCTTCAGCCCCCAACTAAAATCTCTCCAGCGCATCATCAAAGATCTACAACCTATCCTGAAAGATGATCCCTCACTCTCACAGATCTTGGGAGACAGACCTGTCCTCGCTTCAGACAACCCCCCAACCTGAAGCAAACTCTCACCAGCAACCACACATCACTGAACAAAAACACTGACACAGGAACCTGTCCTTGCAACAAATCCCGATGCCAACTCTGTCCACATATCTATTCAAGTGACATCATCATAGGACCTAATCACATCAGCCATACCATCAGGGGCTCGTTCACCTGCACATCTACCAATGTGATATATGCCATCATGTGCCAGCAATGCCCCTCTGCCATGTACATTGGCCAAACCGGACAGTCTCTACGCAAAAGAATTAATGGACACAAATCTGACATCAGGAATCATAATACTCAAAAACCAGTGGGAGAACACTTTAACCTGTCTGGTCATTCAATGACAGACCTGCGGGTGGCTATTTTACAACAGAAAAGCTTCAAAAACAGACTCCAACGAGAGACTGCTGAGCTGGAATTGATATACAAACTAGATACAATCAACTTAGGCTTGAATAAGGACTGGGAATGGCTGAGCCATTACAAACATTGAATCTATCTCCCCTTGTAAGTATTCTCACACTTCTTATCAAACTGTCTGTACTGGGCTATCTTGATTATCACTTCAAAAGTTTTTTTCTCTTACTTAATTGGCCTCTCAGAGTTGGTAAGACAACTCCCACCTGTTCATGCTCTCTGTATGTGTGTATATATATCTCCTCAATATATGTTCCATTCTATGCATCCGAAGAAGTGGGCTGTAGCCCATGAAAGCTTATGCTCTAATAAATTTGTTAGTCTCTAAGGTGCCACAAGTACTCCTGTTCTTTTAGTGATTTTTGGGTGCCCCAGTGTTTAGGTGCCCAACTAGAGGCACCTGAAAGGAACTCAATTGACAGAGGGCCCAGTAATTTTGAAATCAAGTTGATCCCCCAAAATCACTAGTTGCTTTTGAGAATGTAGGCCATTTTGTCTGGCAGGGAAGTGTCTGTATCCAGATGAGGCTTCTGGGCCAGCTGAAAAACCAGCTGACATCAGGTATTGCAGAAACAAAGCGCCCAGTGCCAGAGGACTTGACTTCAAACACTGCTCCTGGTGTGTATGGATCAAGAACCAAGTCACTTTCTAATGGCAGTCCTCTGAAAACAGGCCCCAGGTCAGCACATTTTAAGGGATGTGAATTTTTACCAGCCAGAGGCAAGGCTTCAGAAAGTGGCATGAGCATTCAGAAATCCTGTACCCAAGTAACTCTAGAGAAGTAAGCAATCATCATTTTCCACGAGCCACTTGAGTTAAAAATATTCTTATGAGGAGACAATGGGTTATGTCCAAGGCAGAGGAAGAGCAAGAAAACTTCATCCAGTGAAGTAATCCTCCACAGGAGGATTTTATTGTTTTGCAGCTAAAATTAAAGCAGGAAATTATTCAATATAATGTTGATGTCAACAGCTGTTGCCATTCAAAATGAGACCTTTTGCTGTTTTTGCAAATCTAATTACAATAGAGCCATTAGGGAAATGAAAGCGAGATCGCAGAGACACAGCCAGGATCTGTTGCAGATTCGTCTTCCTCTCAGCCCTTTTAAATCAGAGTTATGCAATTTAAAAAAAAATGAAGGAGAACAGGATAGGAAGAAACTCTCTATGAAGAGAGAAACTTACCTCAGGATCAGGGTTTCCGATGATGGCTTTACTGGACTATGGAAGTGTCATTCCGATCAACTCCTCCTATGTCTAGATCAGTGGTTCCCAAACTTTAACAACCTGCGAACCCCTTTCACTAAAATGTCAAGTCTTGTGAACCCCCTCCTAAAACTGAATATTTCCAGGGATTTTCTCCCTTACCTCAGCATAAATTATAAAAGCAGTGATATTGGAAATATAAAATTTGCATTTATGACATGTTTATTACACACTATTTATTAATTATTTATCATTACAGTATTTTTATTACATTATGAAAATGGTAACACTCTTCCAAGATCTCACGTTTGTAGCTTGTATCACTTTTGATTAAGCCTGTTTAAGACAAGGCTCCTATCAGAGGCACCAGTAGAAAAAAGGGGTGAGGGGGCAAAGCCCCTGTGCACCCCAGGACCAGAGGGGGCACCACTGGAAAAGTAGGTGTGCCCGCGAGGGCTACTGGAAAAAAAGGGAGGGACCCACGGGGGGGGTGCACTGACGCGGGGGCAGCACGTGACCCTTGTTGCCCTCCCCCCATACTGGCGCCTCTGGCTCCTATGTTTCATCAAGGAGTGTCAGATGTGAAACAGCAGGAAGGTATTAAAGACGCCAACTCAAAGAGTTCCTCCTACACAAGCATTCAGGTCTTGAGCAATCCAGACAAACAACGTACGTTACAATAAAGCTTAAACTTGTTCTTCATAATCATTTAAAAACAACACTAGCAGCCTATTTAATTTTAAAAACAGCAAAAAATATCCTCCTACCTTTCCATTCCTTATAAGGAGCCTTGAAGTTTAAATCACCTCAGTGTGATAGATGTGCTTGCATTGATCTGCTTAGCTCTTGGAAGTCCCCAAGGCTCTGGGCTGTTGGCCCCATGCTGCCGGGGTCCCTAGGGACAGCTCTTTCCGCCATTCGGGAATTTTTTCCCGAGAATCCCCTGTAACATTTCGTGAACCCCCAGGGGTTCATGAACCCCAGTTTGGGAACCACTGGTCTAGATTCTACATTTACAATCTGCCCTGAGCAAGGGGTCGCATGGAGCTGCATTGGCCCAAGAGCAGACTAGAAATTCACACTTCTGCCTCTGCTCCACCCTTTTTCAGCGGCAGACGTAGGTAAATTCAGCTCAGTCACTTCTGTATACCCAGCCAGCTAATCAGGCCCTGGAAATGGAGAGACATAGCCAATGAACCTTCCAGTTCCCCCACCTATTGTTCAGAGCACGGAGTATTGAACCAATGGGCCCCTGTTTTCCCCATCATGGCTAGAACAGGACAATATGCGGGTAGGGGAAAAGGGAAATTACCCCTGTGCAGCTGAGGAATGACTGTGCCGATCTAGCCCTTTGGGTTCTTAAACAACTAGAAAGAAGCAAGCCATTGGGATTTTGCAGGGCCCTGAGCAGCTGGACTTTGAATTGATAATATTCACTGGCAGCTCTTGGCTGAATGGAGCCACAGCTCCTCGTGCATTGGGTCTTTGTGTTGTCGTTTGATACTTTAACCTTCAGCTTTCCCCTCATCCAGCAGCCTCCGTGCTGCCAGGGCTCATTAGACGAATGAATATGTCACATTGCCAGGATATGCCAGTCTGCGGATGAACGGCAGACACCCGTAGTGATGGTACCAAAACGTTTTCCTCTACGCTCCCTGAGTAACATGCACACAGAGGTATGGTTGGGCTCTAGAGCAGGTAGGTTAGCTTTGGCCAGTCAAATGCTAGGTCTAGTGACATCCTCATCCCCTTTTTATAAAAGGGGGAACGTTCCTTGAAGCCACTGATCAGACACATCTGGATTTAGATTAACAGTCTGGAAAACGTCTATGTGCAGCATAGTGCATTTAAAAAAAAATAGTAATCTGGTTAACCTCAAATGTTCCTTTCTGGTACTTCTAAAAACATTCTTATATCATCTCAAATGTACTTGTATCGCTCTGCAGTTACGTTAAACTGTGATGGTCATAATGAGTGCCCCAGATGTCTGGTTTTTATACATCGTCCGTCTTCTTGCCAACATTGTCAGGCTCTCATTGAATATGCCCGGGGAGAGAGAAGGAATCAATTTGTCTTCCCCGCCCCCTTCTAATTTAGAATTCTCCAGCTTCACTGCCTTCCTGTAGGATTGAGTATTTAAATTTTCCTCCTTGAGCAGAATTCTTCGAGAAGAAGAAAAAAGGAACAGTGATGGCATGTCTCTTCAGATATTTGGCCCTCGATTAACCTGGTTCAGCAAAACCATAATCATACTCCATCTAGCGTGTCTGTTAGCTTCCGTGCTAGATCGATTGCGGGAGCAAAATTGACCCCAGCGGTACAGCGAACATATCTGTCAATGAGTGTTATGCCGCTGCAGAGCACCAATCAGATACAGTGCCACCTTGTTCCTGCAGAGCTGCTCTTTTAGGATCAGGATATTTGCCAAACTGGACCGTTAGTTATCAAGTCTGGTCTCCTGCTTCCAGCAGTGGTCAATCCCTTAGGTTGCAGAGAAAGGCAACTGTCCCACCTCACCCCTTCTCATAAAGCACTTGGACAAAACTGCTCCTTGGTACCTGCAGGTGATCAGTTTGCACACTGGAGCAGGGATTTATTACCCCATCTGAACAGGTATAATTGCAAATACTGTTAATGATCATCAAATCATCCAGCCCTTTTAATTGTCTTATACGGACCAAGAGAACTGTATGCAACAGCAACCTCATTTAGAAACTTCCAGCGTTTTTGTCATCAAGTATCCAATGCCAATTTGGAGCAGATCTGAGGCACACAAGACTGCTATCTCCTTTAGTTCATGGGCGTTCTGAAGGTATTGGCAGGTTCTCCCGCCCAGTGATCCAAACTGGAACGTTTCCAAAGAAATAAAACATAATCATTTTTAAAAGTCTCCTCCTCGGCATAGGTTTCAGAGTTGTAGCCATATCAGCAAAAACAATGAGGAGTCCTTGTGGCACCTTAGAGAAATTGTGTACCAATTTCATTAGAATTGTGTGCTATTTGACTGGAAAACTAAGGACATTTCATGGATTCTGACTGGGAAGAGCCTTGCTTCCTCTACTCTAAGGAAAACTGTATCTCTGTGTTACTGAGGGAGCTAAGGAGAAAGGATCACTTCATGAAAGGACAGCTGTTGTTTTTACTTTTACATTTTATTAACCTGCTCGTTTCTTTTCAGAGGACAGTTACAGAAACTCCTCACTTAAAGTCGTCCCAGTTAACGTTGTTTTGTCGTTATGTTGCTGATCAATTAGGGAACATGCTCGTTTAAAGTTGTGCAATGCTCCCTTCTAACATCGTTTGGCAGCCGCCTGCTTTGTCCACTGCTTACGGGAAGAGCAGCCCATTGCAGCTAGCTGGGTGGGGGCTTGGAACCAGTGTGGACCCACGGCCCCCCATCAGCTCCCCGCACCCCTAAGTTCCCTGTGCTGCAGCCGCCCAGCAGGCTAGCAATCGGCAGTTCAGATGTCCCTCCCCCCACTGCCTTGGAGCTGCTCCTAGAGTCTCCTGCTTGCTGTGCAGGGCGGGGGAAAGGGGGGCTATTGTTAGCATGTCCCCCTCCCCCTGCTCCTGCACCCCGCTTATCCCTTCTCCATATAGAGCAGGGAGGAGACACGGACGGAGAGAGAAAGAGAGAGCTTGGGGCAGCAGCTGCTGTCTCAACTTCCTGATCCACTTAAAAAGACAATGCACTTAAGAGTGGGTCAGCTTACTTAAAGGGGCAGTGTGCATCTCTCTCTCCCACACACAAGGTGTGTGTCTGTCTCTGTCTGCTGTGCTGTCTCCCCTCCCTCGTGTTCGTGCTGTCTTGTGTGAGAGGCTACATTAACAACAATATGTTAACCCTTGAGGGCTCAGCCAAGTGCTAGTTCATCATTTAGCAGTAAGGCATTCCCTGGGAAATATCCCACCCTCTTCCACCCTCTGACTGCACCACCTCAACCAAGCTGTGAACAGTATTAAATTGTTTGTTTAAAACATATACTGTGTGTATATCTATATAATATATTGTTTTTTGTCTGGTGAAAAAAATTTCCCTGGAACCTAACCCCCCCCTTTTACATTAATTCTTATGGGGAAATTGGATTCACTTAACATCGTTTCGCTTAAAGTCACATTTTTCAGGAACATAACTACAATGTTAAGCGAGGAGTTACTGTATCTAAAACCCTATACTGGCTACCAAATGTATCTATTTTTTTACCAACTGTGTATGGACTGTTATAAATCACTACACATCTCATTAACAAACAGGTATATGTACCGACTAACCAATTCATTTACAGGGAGAAGTTGGAATGAAATCACATTCAGATCCTCAGTATTCCCAGGAGAGGGAAAATCTGGAGACGAATCAGTACCACACGAAACGTATTGCTATTGTCATGTGTGGTCTGTAAGTCTTAAAAGCGATCTGGAAACATTGAAACCAAGGCAGTTATTTCCAGAATAAAAGTGACTGGTGATTTCAGACGGAAAATGGGGATGGTTCTCCGGAAAATTACTAAGCACCAGATTCTGCCACCCTTGCTCACGTTGAGTAGTACCTTACTCCTTGTGTGGTTATCTTGAAATTAATGAGCCAAGTTGAGGTGTAAATATTACTCAGCATGAGTAAGAGTAGCAGAATCTGCCCCAAAAGGGACTTCTGTTTGAGACTGAGACAACAGTGGCATAAAGATGTTATATGTTTAACTCAAAATCGATGGCATTGCTGTTTAGACCACAGGAGAAGTCCAAACGGCCAACAGAACAGTTTCCCCAGGTTTAGGTCTTATTCTTCAAAAGCTTGAGAGAATAAATGCAACAGAGATGTAAAATGATTCCAAGACAACGGGCTCTTCTTTACATTAGGCTGCCAGTTATCTGGACTGATAATGGGCTTTCAGGCCTCTAATTTGAAGAAGGTCTTTTTATTTATAGCAAGGATCTGAGCTCAGCAGCTTTTGACATGCTGTAGAATGGGTGCTCTGAACAACTTTTCTGCCTCCTTCATTACTGAGCTGGGTTTTTTGGGAAGTGCTGAGCATGCCATGTGGGGAAGAAGAAATGTTACAGATGTGCCTGAGGCTGGACAGAATATAAACCCTTGAAGCCCAAGACAGTTGAAATTTCAAAAGAGCCTGTCACAGTTCTCTGTACTATACACTATGAATTGTATTTAAATCCAAGCCTGCCACTATGCAGTCTGTCTAGCTACCTGGCCATTAAGTGTATCCACTTCATGTACAGAATACTGCTTGAGTTCATTATTAAGGCAACCTTTGCAATCTGTTTTTGTTTGCCTGTCACAGCATTTATGCAAAAATAAAAACATCAGTAAACAAACAAGAACTGAGGTGCAGTATTATACTGCTCTTCCCAAGGAAAAATGGTCAGTGAGACCGGCCTTCAGTGAAATCAGTGAATTTATTTTTTAAAGGCAGATTGATGTTTAAATATTTTATTTTAAAGGAAGTAAGAGCTCATAAGTGGCAAGTGATAGCGAAGTGGAGAAAAGACCCCATGGGAGCCTATTTAAACTCCCTCAAATCTTTTTCAAGTCTCCTTCTATGAGAACAGAAATGAAAGGCTGGGATTTTCAGAGAGTTGCTTCCCTTAAGCTCCTTTGAAAATCCCAGCTCCTTGGCCCTTATTTAAAGACCTAAAAACATGGTTTGCTATTCATGAGTGCCAAGCACCTAGCAGCGCTGGTGGGTATTCAGCACTTATGAAACTCAGAGTGCTTGTTTGAGTGCCTAAATATTGACGTAGGAGCTTAACTTCATAGGCACCTATTTTCTGAAAATCGTGGCCACTGTCTTCATGCCATAATTGACTTTCCATTTAAGCATCCTGCCATCCGCATCATAGACTGCTCCTGCCGAGGGGATAGAGAACTCCATAAGGGCCCCAGTCCCACAAGCAGCTCCGTGGAGGCAGATCCCCATGGACTTCAGTGGGGCTCTGTGTGGGCATAGGAGTCTTGCCCACGAGGAGTGGTTTGCAGGTTTGGGACTTAAATCTTCACTCAGCATCTACTTCGCTCAAGGCTGTTAGGTCCTCCAAAACCAGTCGATTTCTCAGGATTCACAGAGGCTCTGTGCCAGTTACTGGTTCCCCAGAGCCCTTGGCGGCACAGTTCTGGTAACGCCATATTGCTTAGGGCTCCTTTACTAGTCGCTGCTCTTGGAGCTCAGCCTCCCTTCAGGGCTGCGGAAAGAGATGCCACGCTGTGGAAACTCATTGCGGATGGAGCCCTGTGGATTTGGTGTGAGATGATGCTATGGAAAGTGGCAAGCTTCTTCTGCCATCGCGGCTTGATCCCAGCGAAGGGGCTTCAGGGAAGAAGCCTGGGCGACAAAGACAAGAAGTGCCACTCCCCCTCATGCCCTGCCCACTTCTGCAGATCAGCTGCCATGAGACGAGGGGATGACAGGGCTCAAAATATTTCTGCCATGACCCTGTCTATGAGTGAGTACAGTATGAACAACAACATTAATTAAGGAAAATAGTTCTCCACCTAACTCCTGTAGATCTTGAACCATGCAAATGAGCAGCCTGTGTGCAGTAATCACTGGTTTGATATTTTAAACAACAGCCAGAAAGGCAACTGTATTGTTAGGCCTCCCACGTAAGCAGGTGAAACCTGCCTTAAGTATTGTTCGAACCGAGATTGGTCCAACCTTATGCTGCTGGTGCTGCTTTTATTGTTCTCTGCTGTCTGTACTTTGTGTCACAAGCTGTAATTTCACGATGCCTTGGGTGTCTTTCGAGAATTATAATTAACAGTTTGGCACATGGCAGGGGGGGGACTCCTGTTTTTTTCTGTCTGTAAATAACAGATTTTTCTCTCTTTCTCTCCCTGTTTTTCAATTTGGATTTGCTGCAGGTGCATAGGCCCCCGTATTGAGGACTGCATCGGCCTGATGGATAGGTACTTGCTGAGTACTTTGCTCCCACTGTCCCCCTCCCATACTCCACGTGTGGGCCAGGGCGCGTGTGTGCATGTCCCTCTGAATGGCGAATTATATTTTCTGTTCTGTAATTGCCTGCAGGTGTAGAGGCCCCACTAGTCATGACTGCATTTACTATCCATGGACGCGCCAGTCCACCTTACCACAGCATGCTAGGTAACATCCTCCATCTTTCCATCTTGTACCTCAGGATCCTTCCCCAGTTACCATAGGAGAGTTGTACTAACCAGTTGGGTTAGAAATATGAATTAGAGTGCGTAAACTGTGTCATAATGTATCTTCAAGAGTAGGGTATATACAGCTCAGCTTTTAGGTTGCTTTACAGTGTGTAAAGTGAAGTTAGCTATGCCATTAATAGAAATGGTTGAAAAATCCCCAGAGCTATTCTGTATGACCTTTTCTTTTGTCAACAAAAATTCACAACTAAACAAAACAAAACAAAACATTTCATGTAATTGAGATTTTCATTTAGTTTCGGTTTTTGAAAGCCAAAATGAAAAAATTTGAATTACAACTAAGGGATTTTTTTTTAATTTGTTTCTCAAAATTTAACTGTGTTCATAAAACATCACAAGGTAGACAAATCTATTTTTCTACCAAAAAAATGTATCTCAAAAATTGTTGACCAGCTCTAGCCACCTTAATTGTTAATTTACTATTCAAAAATGGCACTGGAAGTTGAGAAATTCAGTTTCTCCTTGCATCAGGTTTGGTCTAAAATGCATCCATGACGACCAAGCCAAATTTATGTAGGAAGAATCTACATATGTTTGAGTTTAAGTTAGGCCTCTGTGTTCCCCTTTGTTATATCCCATTCATGTCCTATGATTTTTTTTTCCATTGGATTTATTTTCAATTCAAACTGGTTAGTATAGCTTCCAGGCTCTCAGGGTCTAGAACCTGACGAGGAGTTTTTCCTTTCAACCAACTTCACCTCATAAAGCATTCTAGCTGGTTTTCCTCAGAGGAGCCGAATGTTTTTTTTTTTTTTTTAATGTTTCCATGCCTCCAGGTTGCTTATTCAACATGAAACTCCTTATTTTCTAGCTGTTGACTGATAGTGTTTATACTCAAGGGAGAGTGGTGTGAAAAAAATACAACTAGAAATGCTAGCCAAATCTCCTTCTTAAATGGTCTAGGCAAGATCTGTTAATATTTGTTCCAAAGCCCAATGCAGTTAATGGGAAGAGGTCCAGATTTTCAGGCGTGCTTATTGATCATGGGTACCTCAGTCTGACGAAGTGGGCATTCACCCACGAAAGCTTATGCTCCAATATGTCTGTTAGTCTGTAAGGTGCCACAGGACCCTTTGTCGCTTTTTTCAGTTTTTAAAGGCCCAACTTAAGACTCTTTGAAAATAAGGGCCTCTTAAAGAATCTCAGACTGTGCACCAAAAACTGAGGTGCCCCAAATCACCAGGCACTTCTGAAAATCTTGACTTCATTGACTTTACTAAGCTTTGAATCAAGCCCTTTGGTCCCAAATGAGCAAAGCACTTTAGAACATGCTTACCCAAAACAGCTTCAACAGAACTACACACACGATTAAAGTTAAGGACGTGCTTAAGGCCTGGTCTACACTAACCCCCCAATTCGAACTAAGGTATGCAACTTCAGCTACGTGAATAACGTAGCTGAAGTCGATGTACCTTAGTTCGAACTTACCGCGGTCCAGACGCGGCAGGCAGGCTGCCCCGTCGACTCCGCGTACTCCTCGCGCCGAGCAGGATTACCAGAGTCGACGGCGAGCACTTCTGGGTTCGATTTATCGCGTCCAGACAAGACGCGATAAATCGAACCCAGAAGTTCAATTGCCTGCCGCCGAACCAGCGCGGTAAGTATAGACAAGCCCTGAGTGATATGCATGATTGGGGCCTTAGTCGTTTTTTTAATTATTTACAATATTGTATTTTAAAATGAGAATGGAATAAACAACATCTTAAGAATATGTTATATGCTTTGTACTGGAAATACTGGGAAGATTATTGGTAAGTAATGACATCACACCAGTCATTGTGTACATCAGCTGTGGTCTCCAGTATACATATTTTAAGTAAAGCTGCTTGATATTGTTAGCACAATAGGGGGAGAGCACATCAGACTATTCATTGTTTGATTTAACTGGCAGAATTGTAAGCTTAACTTTGACTTCAGAAGATGGATTTATTGTCTAGATACTTACTTAAATCTCCAAGGGCATGATCCAATGCCCATTGAAATCAATGGAAACACTCACATTAATGTCATTGTCTGTTTGATCCGATCCTAAATTTATGTAGCAAAATGAGTAATGAAATATGTGAGAGCCAAGGTGGATGAGGTAATATCTTGTATTGGCCCGACTTCTGTTGCTGAAAGAGACATGCTTTTGAGCTTATACAGAGCTGTTCTTCAGGTCTGGCCCAGGCTTAAAAGCTTGTCTCTTTCACCAACAGAAGTCAGACCAATAAAAGATATTACCTCACCCACCTAGTCTTGCTAATATCCTGGGACCAACATGGCTACAACAACGCTGCAAACACTAATGTGGAAATGTGCGGAATTCGGGATGTGGCACTGTGCTACAGATGATATTTGCTAGTATGCAGTCATTTTTCAAGACCTTAAAACTAACAATGCGGATCCTTTTTATTTTAAGACGTGTAGACAAGTGAATTCATCTCTCTGAATCTGTGATCTGATGTCAAGTCAGTAAAACAGACTGCTGAGGTGTGTGTGGGTGTGAAAATTAAAATAGATGTTTTAATCCATTCAAATGAGGCATGTCCTGCTCCATTCTGTATGAATAATGAGTGACCCTCAATTATGGAATCTGGAAAGCCATTTCAAAGAAAGAACATTTCCTTTAAAACTGACAACTTTGCTACATTTATTTTGTGACAATGATTGCCATGTAAATGTGATTAAATTTTAGGATATGTATGTTTTGTCACTTTCAAACCTGCGTAAGAAATTTCAGAGCCAGTTTACAGCTTCCAAACCTATATTTGTTAATTTTTTTTAAATGATCCATTTTTAAATGATGCCCTTTTTTGGGACAAAAAATAAGCAAAACTGCACTGGCAAAAATGGTATATTTTCTGTGTAATGCAAGTGGTGAAAACCAAAGTGTGTCTGTTTCACTTTAAATGCAACGCTTTACATATTCCTCTAGCTACGTTTTATCCACCATGACCTACTTCAGGTCATTAATGTCTAGTCTGCACCTTCACCATTGCTTCACATTGACTTGAATCAGTACTGGATTGAGAGGCAGAGGGCTCTGTTGTTCAACCAGCCAGCAGAAGATGAGAACAAAGTCTGTAATGCAGACACATGAAATATTTCTCACTTCCTTCATCTGCTTCCATTTTCAAATCAATGTTGTTGTTTTTTCCCAGTTTTGTAATTTGCAAATTGTTTTTGCCATGATCCGTTGGCCTGAAGGCTTTTGCAAGAGTCTGGTAGGATAGCAGAGGAATTTTTACTGTCATGTTTAATAAAGATGAATCGGATGTGTGCTACACTGCTTGTTTTCCAAAAGACCAGCAGTCACATTTCAAAACATACCCTCTTTCAGCTTGTGTCTAGAGCCTTTAATGGCTATACATTATAATCCCTTTACTCAGGGATTTTTACTCCTAACATTTCCTAGTAGAATTCCACATCAGGTGATGTTAGAAATGCTTTTATGTTCTCATTTCCATCTGAACAGCACTTACAAACGAGGAACATTTTACCCCTTTCCTCTAGACCAGTTGATTGATATCCAAACAGCTGTTAGATTGCTTGTTAGATCTATAAATACACTGATCCTTTGTTCCACAGTGACCCAAATTTATTTTCAATAAATTAAGTTTATCTTTACAAAGGGTTTCACCGCGTTGTTAACTACCAGAAAAAGTTCAAACTATAAAGAGAGTAAATGTCTCCTTGAACTAATCCATAAAAGCTTTTAGAGCTCATGGGAGAAATGAGCATCTCTTATTTGTGGCTAGTTGCCAAATTCCAGCTCTTGTAACCATAGGAGGTCCTGCTCTGTAGTTCTAGTAATACTATGGAAAGCCATAGTTCTCCACATTTCTGACACATCCTGTTGTATTTCTGTAATGTCTAGCATGGTGGTATCCGATTGTAATTTATGTGTTACGTGGACTTTAGGAGCAGATTCTCTCACTGGCTTCTGCCTCTTCGAGCTGCTCCAGTGACACTAAGGAACCAGAAATGGGACAGACTTTGCCAGCTGAGAATTCCTAAAGCAAAGGGGACTCCTTAGCTGGCACAGAGATGGCATAGTTTATTCCTATATCACCCTTTGCTCTCCAGAACCTCAGCATAGGGTACATACCAGGCCCGGGGCCGGAGGAGGGAAATGAGGGCGTACGATCAGAGTGCTATTGAACTCTGGTATTCGCAGCTAATTTTATTGGGACATGTTTGCACACCAATCCTTTCATGAAAACCAAGAGGAAAAGAGAGGTGAATTGTGTATACTATGCAGAGATGTACACCGGGATTTTCCAGGGAGCCTATAGGCGCTCTGTGCCTAGCTCTAATTGAATTTCAGCAGGAGCTGAGACCTATTGGTTTGAGCATTGGCCTGTTAAACCCAGAGTTGTGAGTTCAATCCTTGAGGGGGCCACTTAGGGCTCTGGGGCAAAAATCTGTCTGGGGATTGGTCCTGCTTTGAGCAGGGGGTTGGACTAGATGACCTCCTGAGGTCCCTTCTAACCCTGATATTCTATGATTTTGTGATTCTATTCCCTCAAGTGCCTTTGAAAATGCCAGCTGTAATGATTATGAGGAGACTTTAGGAGTAATTGAAAGGGGGGTAGGGAGAGGGAGTGTGAAGAGAGAAACTCCACCATCTTACTGAAAAAAGAAAAGAAAAAAACAATGCCCGGCAATACAGGTGTGGTCTTTTCCCACAGAATTTAACTGCCCAATTGAGTTATCCAAGCCAGGCCCAGGATAAAATTTAGTAGCGTTAATGTGTATCTAGGTTTCACTAAGTTGCCGGTATTTAAACTTTCAGATGAAGCATTCAAGCTATAATTCAAAGGAAAAGAATTCCTTAAGGAAGGGGTGAAGCTGCCATTTTTCTGGTATGAGATCTATCATAAACCTGAAGATGTAATCAGGGGAGGGAGCAGCAAGGAAACAGCACCTTAATAGTTC